GGAGTCGGAGACGAGGCAGTTCCAGAAGCTTCTTGGTGAAATGGAGCTTGGCAGTCAAAAGCCTTCGCAGCTCTTACGGCGCATGAAAGATCTAGCCCGTGGGAAAATACCAGACGCGACATTACAAATCATGTGGAATAGCCACTTGCCACCACCAGTGCAAGCTGTGTTGGCCGTTACACAGGAGACAGATATAACAAATCTGGCTGTAGTGGCTGATAAGGTCATGGAGGCCACTGGGCATTCCAATATAGCTGAAGTATCAACCAACAGCAACTCCTCAGAGCGGGAGTCAAAAATTACATGTTCGGAGCAATCCGACCTGGCGACGTTGGTAGCACGTCTCAGCATAGAAGTGGCGGAGTTAAGGCGCTCTCGGCAAGCGGATCGTGGTAGACCGTTCAGGGGTAGGAACTACAGTGCTGGAAACAGATTCAGTCGGGCACCGTCACAAGGTCGAGAGAGAGAGAATTCCAGTAACCGACGAAATCCTAATTGGCTTTGTTTCTACCATTATCGGTACGGAGATAAGGCCGTAAAGTGCATTGAGCCCTGTAATTGGCGGAAGCCCAAGCCACAAGAGCCAGCGGAAAACTAAGTGCGATACGACCGGAGGCGGAGGTTGGTATCGGGTTATCGAATAACCGCCTATGTGTTAAAGACAAAAAAAGTGGACTGAAATTCTTAATTGACACAGGTGCGAACGTTTCGGTTATTCCGGCATCGAAAAAGTGCGTTTCCGATTACAGTGCGAGTGATAAATACAAACTATATGCAGCTAACGGAACCGAGATAAAAACTTATGGTATGCGTACTTTAATTTTAGATTTAAATTTAAGGAGAGCATTTAAATGGAATTTTATCGTAGCGAATGTTAAACAGCCGATAATAGGAGCGGATTTTTTAAGCCATTATCAGCTGTTAGTCGACATGAGCGCGCGCAAGTTAGTAGATCAAATTACACATTTAAATGTTCTCGCCTCTGTTGTAAGTCATAACGAATGTGAATTATCTATTAAAACTGTTTTAGGTAATAGTAATTGGCATGATTTATTGCTTTGTTACCCGGACATAACGAAAATAGTATCGTACAAAGAGACACCTAAACACTCTGTGTGTCATTATATAGAAACTACGGGCCCACCGGTATACGCTAAAGCCAGACCTCTCCCGCCTGACCGTTATAGGAAAGTTAAGGAGGAGTTTAGCCACATGTTGGAATTAGGCATTTGTAGGCCATCTAAAAGCGAATGGGCCAGTCCATTACATGTGGTACCAAAGAAAAATGGTGATATTCGGCCTTGCGGTGATTACAGAAAATTAAATGCCATAACAAAACCGGATCGCTATCCGATTCCGAGACTGCATGATTTTAAATATTTATTAGCGGGAAATAAAACTATTTTTACGCGGTTAGATTTAATTCGTTCTTATCATTTCGTACCGGTTGCCCCGGAGGATATTGAAAAAACTGCCATTATAACGCCCTTTGGACTGTTTGAATTTCCGCGCATGATCTTCGGATTACGTAACGCAGCTCAAACATTCCAGCGTTTCATGGATACCGTAGTACTACAAGGGTTAGACTTTTTATTCAGTTATATCGATGATCTTATTATCGCGAGCGAAAATGAAAGTCAACACAAAGAGCATTTAAAGGCAGTTTTCGAAAGATTTGATAAATATGGAATAACTATTAATCTATCTAAATGTGTTTTTGGTCAGTCAACACTTGAGTTTTTAGGATTTGAAGTGTCTACGGAGGGTGCGCGACCACTTCAAGATAAAGTACAGGCTATTGTAAATTTCCCGAAACCCGAGACAGTCGATCAACTACGCCGTTTTCTCGGTATGTTAAATTTTTATCGTGCACACATTCCAAACGCTGTTCAATATCAATTCGAATTGAATAAATATTTGCACAATACAAAAAAACGCGATAAAACTTTGATTGTGTGGACTGATAAGGCTGACGAAGCATTTAAGAAGTGTAAGGAAAGCTTGCAAAGCGCCGCTACACTGTCTTATCCTTTACCAGATGCTAATTTAGCGCTGATGACCGATGCCTCGGATACTAGTGTAGGTGCTGTATTACAACAGAAAAATAACAACAATTGGCAACCATTAGGGTATTTTTCAAAAAAACTTTCACAAGCTGAAACGAAATATTCTACTTATGATAGGGAATTGTTAGCAGTATTTATGGCTATCAAATATTTTAAAAATTTAGTGGAAGGCCGTGTACTGACTATTTATACTGACCATAAGCCTCTTGTTTTTGCATTTTCAAAATTAAATAACGACAAAGAAAGCCCTAGAAGAATTCGTCAATTATCTTACATTAGTGAGTTTACCACCGATATTCGTCATATCAGCGGTGAGCAAAATGTAGTCGCAGATACACTTTCGCGGATAGAAACGATCAGTTGTCCTACATTACTCGATTTTAGAGAAATAGCTGAGCAACAACTTAGTGACGAATACCTACAGCAAGCGTTGCAAGCAACAGATAGTAAATTACAATTTAAACAAATATTATTGCCAGACTGCGAAAAATATATTTATTGCGAAATTTCATCTAACAGAATTAGACCATATTTACCAGATAAATTCAGGAAAATTGCTTTTCATTCGGTTCACGATTTAAGTCACCCCGGTGTTAAGACTACCAGAACTTTAATTAAACAACGTTTCTTTTGGCCTAATATGCTTAAGGATATAGCGAGTTGGACTAGAACCTGTTTTAGTTGCCAGAGATCAAAAATTAATAGGCATACGATAGCAGGATTAGGAGAGTTTGAGCGTGCAGACCGTTTTCAACATGTTCATATAGATATTGTAGGCCCGTTGCCTACATCGGCAGATGGACATAGATACTGCGTAACAATGATAGATCGTTGTACCGGATGGCCGGAAGCTTTTCCAGTTCACAATATTACAGCTGAAACAGTAGCCAAGGTAGTATTTGAAGGCTGGATATCTCGATTTGGAAGCCCTTCGAAGCTTACTAGCGACCAGGGTAGACAATTTGAGAGTGATCTTTTCAGTCAGCTAATGAAGTACCTAGGTATTTTTAAAATGCGAACAACACCTTATCATCCGCAGAGTAACGGCATGGTTGAGCGATGGCATCGAGCACTAAAAGTGTCACTTACGGCACGTTTAAACTGCAATAGTAACTGGGTGACCGAGCTTCCAGTCGTGTTGTTAGGCTTACGAGCCGCAACCCGCAGTGACAGTGGCGTTAGTGCAGCAGAGTTAACTTATGGTAAAACAATTCGTTTGCCAGGTGATTTTTATGAGGATTCCAAATTAAATTGCTCGGATTCGGAATATTTACAAAATCTTCGCGATTCCATTAAAAGTTTGAGACCTAAACCGTCAAGTCATGGTAATTCACGTTCGTTATTTCTGCCTAGCGAATTAAATAGTTGTAAGAGTGTATTCATAAGAAATGACGTATTTCGTAAATCTTTGCAACCTCCTTATGATGGCCCTTACGACGTTGTAAGTCGGAAAGGCAAAACTTTCGATATTAAAATAGGAGATAAGACGAAAACTATTTCAATAGAAAGATTAAAACCAGCATTTTTTATAAATAGTGATAAAGATTTTAGTTATAGTTCGAATTTTAATAAGAGTAACGATTCTAGTTTAGATAACGAGGTCACTTCCAGTAAAGCTCTACAGCCGAGAACTACGCGTAGTGGCCGCGTTATCAATACACCCGTACGTTTTACAGCATGACGTAATACATACGTACCTATAGCGTAGCTAGTCGAACGGACGAAGCATAGAGAACAGTATACGAAATACGAAGCAAGCGGAAGTCTTTGTAAATTAAATAATAGGTAGTTCTGTTCTCAAGATTTCAATTTCATCGATATAGCTCTAGAAATAATAACAGTGGGTACTGATTTAAACAAAGAACTTTTGTCAACCAATTTTTGTACTCAGCTTACAAGATCGCCGCGTTCCCACAATTTGTTAATGTAAATATTACTCATTTGTTAATGTAAACAAATCGATACGATACGTGAATAGTAGTGAATAAGTAGCATAGTGAATATTAGGTTTAGTGGTTGTGGAAATTATAGGTTCAATTCCATATTCAACATGTATTTGTAGAGTATAATAAATATAATTTTAGATTGGTTAGGATTTAGATACTATTAAACAGTAATTTTGTTTAGTAATAAACTTTTGATAGGAAACATGTAATTTAATTTGTTTACTAATAAGTAAGAATTTGTATTCGATAAAAATTAAATGTTTTAATGACATATTATTTTATATTTACTTTAATTACTTGTCATTTATTTAAAAATTGTTTATATTATTTTTATTGTTCTTTATTGTACTGTTCTTTTACATTTCTTACAATATGTGATGTGTACTTTTATTTTTTATTGTAAGAGGGGGAGTACTGTAGGGACACATATGCCTACATGTACATGTACAGTTTAGTTTGTAAGATGTTTATAAACAATTTGTTAGCGTCTGTAGAACAAAGACTTTTTAACTAGTCGCTAATATACGGAGTTACAGAGTGAACGTGTTTTCTTATTTAACCTTCTGATAACATAAATAGGGTCCGACACCTAATACCCTAAAACCAGAATAAAATCAATATTTAAGCGGGGACCCCACTAAACGAACGTGTTTTTTTTTTTTTGCTCGTTTAACCCTTAGGACTCACATTTGGCCGGTTTTTTTTTAACGTATACCTGAAAATAAAACCAAAAGACTGTCGCTGTCTATCTCGTTAATAGGGACAGAGGATAGCTAATTGCTTGGCAAAACGAAACTTTTACGATTTTTGTAAAAGTGCTGCATAATTCCCACACCTAAATAGTGACCCACGCATTTTTCAATTCTACCAATAAAAAATATACAGACTGATAAACACATTAACCTCCACAGTCCGGTAAAAAGTGTATAATTACAAACGATAAATGGAATAACTTATGAATATTAAGGGTGTAGTGTATTTAATAGGCATGTTGCTTTTTGAATCATATGAAATATTAGGTATAGGTAAGCTAACTTTTCCCGCGAATTCGGCCACGTAAATTAAACGTTGCCTAAATGGTATATGATTACTGTCTAAAGAAAAGATGTAAAGCTTTAAAATGTCTATAAAAAAAGTTATCGACACGCGGCAGCGCGAAGATGTGAAAAACTATTAAAAAGTTAAATCTTTTGTCCGACATGAGTTTTATAATGTGATATTGTATGCTTATAACGATAAATATGCATATATTTTTGTAGTAAAAATGTTTTTTCTACGCCAAATTGAATAAGTAGTTAAGATTTTTCAGAAACATTATGTTTAAAAAATAATCTTCTTTTATATCGTAAATACGAAAGTGTGAGAGGCTGGATGTAGGAATGTTTGTGACTCTTTCACGCAAAAAGTACTGAACGAATTTTGATGAAATTTGTTAATATAGATAATTCTTAGCCTGAATTAACATGTGGACTACTTTTTATCTCACTAAACGTGGTTGAGACCTGCGGTTACTCTGTTCATAGTACTCTACATATGTCCAATTCTCATACACCGGATTAGGTACTCAAAATGTAAATTTCAATATCTCTCTGACACTCGTGGTCGTCAACTGCGGTCTTATAACTCTGTCTCATTATCCACTCCTCTTTTTCACACTGGCTTCTTATTTTCAGGTTTCTACATATTTGGAAACATCAATACCCTAAAAACAAGCTCTCCACTGTGGACTAACATATCTAAAACTTTAGAAGATAAGGCTGCCATCGGTTCCAGTCTTACACTGAAATGCGAAAACCACTCGGATCAAATTACTATGGTTGGTTAAGATATTTTTTATCGCAGGAACAAATGCGGAATAAACCAGAATCCTACATTTTTAGTAACAAAGAGTGTATTAGATACCTAGATATATTTTCCAAATTAATTTAAAATTTAACCAGTCGTTTAAGAAGTATTTTTAAAGTTTGTAATTAATCATTGACTTACTCGTTTATTCCACCGATATCTAAAAGTCTAATTCTACTTGTTGCACAAGCTCCAAATTTTGCACGGAAATTGTAATTACCTACGTCATACCAATTCCAACTCTCCGCATCAATCCTTTTTCCCTTTTCTTGTTACTACAAACTGCATATATATATAATATTAGGGGTTAAAGTATGAAATTGCCGTTTTATTGTAATAGGTTTCATGACTTAACAAGAATCTTCATGGTTTGAGGTTTTCGAAAGAAACTTTTTTCATATGGTTTCTATGATCTTCTGTTTTTAAAAGATGTGAAACATTTAAATATCGACTTTCAATTATTTCGTTAATCAACTTAAACGAGAAAAATGGATACCGCGAAAATACCACTTTGTATTCTGTTGACCAGTCGTGAAGCTTCTTTAGAACTTTGAGTATAAATACGGTATAAATAAATAAGAAAAAACGTCGATGTTAGCTTTCCAGCCCTGCTATGTTATTAGGTGTTTTAAAATTTATCCTTTAATAAATATACTATGCAACGCTGGTATGTCTTAGTATCAAACCATCGCCATGGAATGTGGCAATAATCCACTCTGATTTCTTTTCAGGACACTTTGGAAATCTAAGCAAAGGTTTTATTCAGTTAATCATTGAATTTATTATGTAGGTAATAAAATACACATGATAAAACAATCGTTGCACATTTTTTCCTGCGGCTTGGTATCATTAAAGTATAACATATTTATGAAAATAGAATATATTTAAATGTTGATGTTAATTGTTTATTTCAATATTTAATTACATTTTTATGTTTATCTTAAAGTAGTTAACATAGGTAATGGAGGTATACTGACAAATATTAATTATTAACTTACGAGTACAGTAGGGGATACCTTTAGTTTATTTAGTTCTTATAAGTACACTACAAGGTGCAAATAACTAAAGTGACTTTGAAAGACCCTTTCGAAAATAATTTTTATAATGTGTAGTGCGACCGCTGAACTCTCCAGCCATAAGATACAACATCTTAACGAATATTATGACGATATTTCTTTTCATTTTATTACTGTAGCAGATGGACTGTAGGCTGGATTATCAAAAGCGGACAGGTAGCAGAAGTCGCAAATTAAAACACTTGGTTCGGAGAAACTCGGAGAACGTTCGAAGGCAGAGCATGCTTTATTGCGAAAAATCGATTACTTAAGTACAATTTGGTTGCTCGCACTTATCTCATATATAAATCAGTTATCTTATAAGATTTCTTAGAGTGGGGGTACGCTACCCGCACCGCGCGGGGAGGGGAAGGTTTCGCTGTTTTCCCGCTGGTGGCGCTATTGTCGCGACGTGGCTCGATGTCCTTTACAATTACTATGATGATATGAAAGCCCTTTTTTAATAGCTCTCCATATTACTCGTATTAACGATAGCAATATAAATTCCAGATAGTGACACCTGAAGACTTTCAAAAGGTTCCAGAGGGTGGTTGTTTAATGAAATGCAACCAAAACTTCCGCGCTTGCGGTCATCCCTGTCCTAGGATGTGTCACGGATACGATCGGGAACACATTAAAGCCGCATGTCAATTAAAATGTGAAAGGTGATTATAGCTTGAGAGAAAAATAACTAAATCATAAAAAGTAAAGAAACGTGTTTAAAACATGTTTCTTTACGAAATAGAACAAAAATCTTGGTAAAAAAACAGTAACATAAATTACATTTTATATATTTTGTTATAGGATAATCTGCGATTTGGGCCACGTGTGCCCACTGAAATGCGCTCAAGAGTGTAAACCATGCACCCAATTAATAGAGAAAACTTTACCGTGCGAGCATATCAAGCAGGTACACTCTGTTTAATTTATTAAACTGTCCTGTTATATCTATCATCGACAAATTAGCCGTTGAATGATCATTTCGCGCCCTTTCTTATCTTTGTTTTATTATTATCTTTTTGTTACATATGTTATCAATTTATTATTTATGGGTTATTTTTTATAATTAAATATTAGTATAAATCTATTTATGTTTATAGATATTCTGCCACCAAGAGCCTGATGATCCCAAGATAGTGTGCACCACCACTGTCACTGTAACCCTGGCTGACTGTGGACATGAGGTCAGTTCTTTACTTCAATCGAACACATCAAGGTACTGAAGCAACGCAAACGCCCTCCGACGTTTGCGTTGCTTTAAACTATGCACCATTTTGTACATGGAGTACGATGGTGCAGTGGTCAGCACGTTCGGTGCGATCGATACGGCGATTAAGTAAGTTTTGCAAAGTTCGATCAATGGATGGGTGACCAAAAATTTATTATCTCAAGCACCGGAAAGTACACTAAGTTATTGACCCCGGCTGCATAGAGTCATTCCTTATCACCATCCTATTAATATCGCCACTGCTGGGGTTCCTTATGGATTGCTTCCCACGGATGGATTCGAATAAGGAGAATGAGCTATGACCTATCATAGCTGGAACCAACTTAACGTGTTCTCCAAATACGAACGAGCTCGAATTAGTACATCTTTAACCGACTTCAAAAAAGAGAAGTACCCTTCTCTTTTCAATTCAAATTTTTTTTTCTGTTTGTTACCTCATAACTTTTTACTGGGTAGACCGATTTTGATGATTATTTTTTATTAGAAAGCCAAAGCCGTGTGGTCCCATTTTAATTTGGTCCAGATCTGGCAATAGCATTAAGTATGCATCATGTTTGTTATCTCAAAACATTTTACAAGGTGAACCGATCCTATTGACTTTTTTTTTTATTTGACAGCTTGTGCTTCCGGTGTGGTCCCATTTCAATTTTCAACATAGTATTTGTCAGACTTATTTGAGTAATGAAGGTTTGCACTTTAACACGGTTTTGACGCGGTTTTCAGAAAAGTATTTTTAGTGTTACCTATATGAATATCAATATCACTAAAAAGCATGTTTAGATATTTGAAAAAAACATTCTGGATCAAATACAAACATACTTTTACAAGAATAATCTTATGAATCGACAACAATTTGGTTTTACAAGGGGTTGCTCAATAACCGCAGCCGGTGTCGAGTTAATACAAGAAATTTTTAATGCCTGGGAGTATTCATATGATGCATTATGTGTTTTCTACGACTTATCTAAGGGCATTTGATTGTGTTTTTCATGAAACATTGGTTAGGAAATTTAGAGATAACTCATTGGATTGTATTGTCTCATACTTGACTGACAGAGTGCAGAGGGTTGATATCAGTGGCAAAAGATCCCCTCGATCGAAAGTTAAGATGGGTGTTCCGCAGGGGTCAATGCTTGGTCCTTCCTTGTTTTTAATTTACATAAATGATCGTAAGGGATAATCACGAAATAGTTTTGTTTGCGGATGACACTTCAGTTTCATTTAAAATTTTAAAATTAAAAGAGGACTACCTCTTAATTACGTCGTGAACAATTCTATGTGAATTATTAATAACCGTATCGCACACAGACAGCACTCACCACTGCGCCATTGATCTACTAATATATGAGGTGAAAGATTATTATATGCCAGGACTTCGTGGGGTGGATAAGTTAAGTATACTGACCCACCTTTACTAGGGTATACTTTACAACGCCCTATAGTTCTATATCTACTATCGCCAACAGTATGAAACAGCTAATTATTTTTTCGCGAATTCAGTGTTTCTTCCATAGTAAAAAAGGAATAATTTTCCACCTTATATTAACGAGTTACTCTATACCTACACTTAACTTGATCACGTACTTTATCAGGACATTCGCTATATTTGATTGCAGGTGGAGAAACCCTGTTTTCAGCATATAAAGTATACAAAATGCAAGACGCCGTGTATATACCGCGTGGATAGTTGCGGCCATCAATGTCGACGATCATGCCACGTCAATGACGATCCCGACCACGAGAAGGTGTGTATAATATACTTTTGTTCTGTACCTTCTATGTCCAATACTTTGGTTTCTTGTTGTATTAAATAAAAAACGTGTTGCTTGTATGACGGAGGTTTATTGAGTGCACACATCAATTGAAATTAACATTGTACATAATTTTAACAGAATAAGCATAACGTGAGTTACTTATGTACGTAAACAGTGAGAAATAACACAAGTTCAATTTAGTATGCTATCTATGCATTAACATTTACGTGTGTGCTTATTACACACACTTCACCTCCCCCGAAAAGATACTGCTACCCCTCCGCTCACTAAAAAGAAAAACTTAAAATAACAAAATTTTTGAACTACTTTGAACAATATTTATAAGAAAATAATTACTAACATTTATTGTAACGAGTTATACATTTTGAAAAGTGTTGTATAAGCATGTTTCTTTATTCGTAAAATAATTTTGTATTATTTTTGTGGACAAGACGTTCTTTATTTCCTTTTTTAATTTTCACATTTGGAGATACATCTTCTATGACTTCAAATGGACCATTATATAGTCTATCCAACTTAGATCCTATTTGGTTCTTTAACAAAATTAAATCACCTTTTTTATACTTTACAGAATTACAATGCTTATCGAATAAGACCTTTCGTAACTGTTTACTTTGTAATAAAGATTCTTTAGCATCGAAACGTGCTTTTTGTAATCGATACTTTAATTCTAAAACATAACTACCAAAATTATATAATGGATCTAAAGTTCTATATAAATTATTAGGTAAGTTGCACAGTTTTCCAAATACAAGCTCATAAGGGGTGTATTTTGTTTCGGTATGTACTGTAGTATTATACGAAAAGCACCAAAATTGAATCCAATCACTCCAATCCGTTTTGTAATTTGCACATTGTATTCTTAAATATGCCCCCAAATGTTTATGGCTATTTTCTAAAGATCCTAAAGTCTCATGATGATACGGAGTCGAGTTTAGTTTATTTACTTCTAATAATTTGCATGTTTCCGATAATACTGAAGACATAAACTCTTTCCCTTTGTCGGTTATTATTTCATTTGGGATGCCATAGCGTATCACAAAATTATTTACAAAACATTTAGAGACTGTAATAGTATCCTTCGTCCTAAGAGGATACGCTTCTATAAATTTACTCAGATCACACTGAATTGTTAAAATATACTTAAAACTATTATTATCTATATCTAAGGGGCCCATTAAATCTAAGCTAATTCTTTGAAAAGCTGAACTAGCAGTTGTGGTAATTACCATTGGTTCCTTAACTTTCTTATTATGGAACTTATTTATTTGGCAAGTCCTACACTTTTTTACAAAGTTACTGACGTCATTAGTTAGTCCTGGCCAGAAGTAATAGTTCTTTATATTATTGAGCATGCGATTTATCCCTGCGTATCCGCTAGTAGGTAATAAATGAAAGTCGTTTAAAATAACTTTTTTATCGTCATCATCAAAAATCCTCAACACGTCTCTGGTAACGAGAAAACGCGGTAAAGTAAGTTGCAACCTCTTCATTTCGCGTAATAAGTGTCTTAAACATTCTTCATTATATTTATTCTTTACAATTAATAACTCTTTTATTTGTAAATGTCGACATAACTGTTCTAAGTCTCTCGCTAACACCTGCGCGGTCGATAACGATCGAGAGCATAGAAATATCGCTGATTGCGATGGAACAAACGTACATAACTTTCCCATGGAAATTATGTTATCATTATTCATTAGACATTTTTCATTATATTTTTCAGTAAAAATTAATTCTACAATATCGTCAGGTCGTTTCAGAACTTCCATAGCCGCAGGTTGATCAGACCTTAAAGCTGTGAAAGGTTCTGTAGTCTGTCTGTCATTGGCAGCGCTCGTTAGTTGCTGTCGCTGAGCTCTTGTTAAAACAGATATCATATGGTCGCGCATTTGCTTGAAATCGTTGGACGTTAACAGGAGTCGACTTAACGCATCTGCAGCAGCGTTATTTCGACCCGGAACATACTCAACTTCGAAGTCATATTCTTCGAGATAAAGTCGGAACTTAGTTAATCGACTTGAAGGGTCGTTTAAACTAAATAAATAAATTAAAGGTTTATGGTCGGTGCATATTTTAAATTTCCTACCATACAAGTACGGACGGAAATGTCGTACTGCCCAAACAATTGCAAGTAGTTCTAACTCGATAACGGGGTATCTACTCTCGGCGGGTTTCAGGTTACGACTCGCGTAAGCTACGACTTTACCATTACTATTTGATAATATTGCGCCTAACCCAATTTTAGACGCATCCGTCTGTAATTTGAAAATATTTTTTTCAGAAAAATCTGGATATTCAAGGACGGGTGGACTAGTTAGAGCAATTTGCAAATTTTTAAATGCAGTTTCGCATTGAGCGTTCCATTCGAATTTAACACCTTTTCTACATAATATGTTTAACGGATAGACAATACTTGAAAAGTTACGAATGAATTTCCTATAATAGTTTGCGAAGGCTACAAACCGTTTTATTTCGTCAGCGTTCGTCGGCCTAGGAAAACTAATAACTGTTGCTATCTTATCTGGGTCGGGTAAAATACCTTCTGAACTGATTTTATGACCTAAATAAATTATTTCGTGTCGCAAAAATTCACACTTAAGCGGGTTGAGTTTTAAATTTACTTTTCTTAACTGATTCAAAACGCTAACAAGATTCTTATTATGATTTTCTAAGGAATTTCCCAGGACAATGCAATCGTCTACGTAAATTAGACATTTATTATAATTGAGGCCTGCCATTGCTATGGTCATGAGCCTTGAGAATACACTAGGACTGGTCTTGAGACCCATTGGACAACGCTTCATCTGGTATTGTTTTCCTGCCGAAAATGCAGTGCATTTACGAGATTCTGGGTCTAAAGAAAGTTGATACATTTTATCTATTGAAAATGAAGTGTATTTTCGAGATTTTTCATTTAAATTTAATTGATAATAAGATTGTGATAAATCTAATTTTGAAAAATAAATATTCCCGGAAAGAGAATCTAATATCTCCGTAATATTTGGTAAAGGAAACTTATCATCCTGAATTTTATTATTTAATTGGCGGTAATCTATAACAAGTCTCCATTTCCTTTCTTGCGATTTATCAACTTTTTTTGGAACCAACAAAACGGGGCTGGACCATTCTGAAATAGTCTCTTCGATAATATCATTATCTAACATTTCTTGAATTTGTTTATTTACTTCCGGTTTCAAGGCATGTGGAATTCGATAGGGCTTAACATAAACGGGCGTTACATTATCTTTTAAAGCGATAGAATGCTCCATTAAATTGGTGACAGATAACTTGTCCCTAGGTAGATGAAAAACGTCTGAATATTTTGCGCATATATTCTCAATACCTATTCTTTCTTCTTTATTCAAATAACTAAGATCAAGTAAGTCAAACAAAGTTTTCACTCGTTGCGTTGACGTATTTTCGTCCGCAAAGTGACAAATATCAAAGTTATTTAAACTATGCATCTTTAATTTAGATAAATTTAAAGTAATATCCTCATCTTTCGTGTTTAATATTCTAACAGGAATTAAACCCTTATTGGGTTTCACAACCATTCCTGCTATAAATATTCCTTCCTGTAGCTCATCTGCCAAAATAACGCAATCATCATTCGATTGGCAGGGCAAATATTTAATAATTTCACAACGTCCTGGTATGACGTGTGTGTACACGTCTTTAAAATGAATATGAATACATGCTGTGCGATCGTCGTGAGACAATTGCAAACTCATATTTTTATAATCGATAACCGCGTTATAACGCTTAAAAAAATTTTCGCCTAATATTCCATCGGCGGCACACGATAGGTTTTTAAATACGTAAAATTTTTGCCTTAAACTTAACCCATTAAAATTTAATTCTAAATAAACAAATCCTTCCGAAATCAATTTCCCACTGACACCTTTAATCGTTAACTTATCATAGAGAATATTATTTACTAATCTAGTTTTACTTAACCATTCGTACTTCAGTACGCATAAGCTCGCACCGCTATCTATTAAAAGGTTTATTTCACTATGAATATCGTCACTAATAGATAAACTTACTATACTACTTACGTTATAGCTAGAAATGAAACGTTCATTCACTGTTGGAACGAAAAAACTCACTATTCGGTGCAGTCTCAGTGCATGCTTGACTTGAATCATGTCGAGCGTGCTGAATTCGCGAAAAATTATTCCCACGAGCATGGGTTGGTCTTGCCCTTGAACGAGGCGGGCGCGCTGACTGCATATGGCCCCGGGCCGATCTATTATAATACGTCACAGGTTTCACATAACCTTGTGGATTAATGTAATTATTTCGGGTGTTATTTGAAAAATTATTATACCTATTATTGGAAAAAGTAGGTTTATTTGTATTGATGTTCCTGTAATTACTAGAAAAGCGTTTTTGACTGGCA